GGCCTTCACCCCGGGGGGGCGGGGCAGGAAGAGCTGCGGATCCAAGCTCTAACGCTCCCAGCCCCCAGGTACCTTGCGCATCAGCGACCGCCCCCAGCTTCACGCCCACAACTTTTTTTTTTTGGGGGGGGGGGGAAGAGAACCAACTCCTGCATAAGTTTGGGCATCGGTGTTTTGAACCGGAAAACCCTTCGTTTTTCTCCATTCTCCATTGTCCATTTCTCCTTTCTCCATTGTCTAATCGAGTACGGACAGCTACTTCGCTGAAAAGAGCGGTAGCGGTGGTGGAGGCTGCGCTGGAACGTACGAAAAAAAAAGAAATGAAGCTACAAACGTGCTGGAAGGCTTGCCTCAGAAACGGCTTTCAAAATATTTTAGTCACCGAAAGAGGCAGAAATAAGATTCTTTTTTATTTTACAGGTACAGTGCACAGAAAGCGAGTTTTTAATAGCATCTAGGATTTTCTACCGGACCTATCAAGTAAGAGGAATTCAAATCTTTAGAAAAATAAGTGAAAGACGACCTACCTTCCCCCCGCAGGACTTGCGAGTTCTGAAAAGGGAGCTGGTAAAACGCTAGGACAAAGTTGCTGCTGCTTTTTAGCCATGTTCGAGACCAGAGGTAATAGCACGTACTCATTTTTAAGTGTTGAACAGCCAGGTGTAACCCTCTACGCTGAGCACAGACCGTTACACCCAGAGCCCCTCTGCGCTTCAGAATTAAGTAACTATATTTCAGCTACCTAAAGAGACAAGTACTTAACTTTCCAGTGACATACAAATGAACAGGCTATTTACGTACCTCCCAGGAAAAATAGCAATTCAGCCCTTCTATACTTGAAAAAATTGGTGGCTCTTAAAAGCGCCTTTGGGTTAGAACTGACGATCTGAGACGCTCTACTTGGAGCTGGTGTACTTGGTGACGGCCTTGGTGCCCTCGGAGACGGCGTGCTTGGCCAGCTCGCCGGGCAGCAGGAGCCGCACAGCCGTCTGGATCTCCCGCGAGGTGATGGTGGAGCGCTTGTTGTAGTGCGCCAGGCGCGAGGCCTCGCCGGCGATGCGCTCGAAGATGTCGTTGACGAAGGAGTTCATGATGCCCATGGCCTTGGACGAGATGCCCGTGTCGGGGTGCACCTGCTTCAGCACCTTGTACACGTAGATCGAGTAGCTCTCCTTGCGGCTCTTCTTGCGTTTCTTGTCGCCCTTCTTCTGCGTCTTGGTGACAGCTTTCTTGGAGCCCTTCTTGGGCGCGGGGGCGGACTTGGCCGGCTCAGGCATCGCGAAAACAGCCTCGTTGCTCTGGAGCACCGGAGTACTCGATAATGCGATTACTCCCGTATTTATAGGGGCCTTATGCAAATCGCTGGCCTCAGCTATCAGCGCTTCTATTGGATAAGGGAGCCAGTGACGTCAGTTGTCGTGCGAACGGCTTTGTAATTGGTCCTTTTTAAATCCCACGCTAGTATTGGTTACTAAGTCGAATCCCATCAGCCAATCACAATAAGCTCTTTCAATCGCACGGCTCGGTAGCGAAGCTGGTCCTCTGCTGCCTGGCCCCGCCCCGCCCCCGGGGTCACCCCGGAGCATCCGGGCTCAAGTGTCTCCGGCAGCTGCCTGTTCGGGCGGCTTTGTACGCACACAGTGTAGTTACCGGCAATTCCTCCGCGGGGCGGGGGGGAAGAAAAGAGAAAATTGCAAGGGCTTTTGCTACTCTTTTTTCCCTTCAAAAAGGTATACCTGCATACTTCATGTAATAGCCTGCATTTGTAACAGCCGCAAGTTACATGTAAAAGGGAAAAAATACAACCAGAAAAGATATAGAGGCTCTGGAATACTAAGCTTTGTTAATTGTGTTTGAAATTAATTCTTCTGGCCCACAGAACATGGCTTGTCTTTCGGGACTTTAAATGAGGTGGAAGTTCTGATTTAATGTGTAAGTTGATAGAATATGGACTTCTTTTGGCATGTAATAAATATTGGATGAATTTGTTTAAGTCAAAGCAAGACATTCCTGGTAATAAAAAATGAATTGTGGATTTAAAATTGGATTTTGGATGTATTGTGAAACAGAAATTTTGGCTGTTTTCTTGTTATGTTGACTTAGTTGTTCAAGAAGAAAATACAATTGTTTAAACAGTCTAACATGATTTAATGGTATTAAGAATTCTGATGTAGTTTTGTTGGTGTTTTTTTTAAATATATGGTAGAGGAAGTGTTCTTTAATATAGTATTAACCTGTAAGTTTAGAGAAGGGCCAATCATGATTTTTTTTTTAATTAAAATTCTCTGTGGCCATATTATAAATTACAATTATAAATTCATTCATTGGTAAATGAGAGCACTATGATCCACTTTTAAAGGGATCAAGTTAATTTGTGGTTGAATGACACTAGGACTGGATAACTTAGTATCATATAGCCAGTGCTATAATGATGCTATTTCCTTTTGGAACCCTTAAGGGCCATTCAAAGTCCAGACTTTGTTGGTATCAGAGGATGGCATGGGCCTATACAAGAAACCTGTCTGGCACAGGTAAATGTCGCTTGAGGTAGGTGAGGTAGGTGAGACTGCTAAAATCACAACAAAACAAATTGTTCAAGGAGCTTTGTAGGGATAGTGAGAGAGAGTCTGGATACTGGTGCAAGCAATAAAAGGATCGATCATCTTACCAGGCTGGTTTTGCTTCTGCTTTTTTTCCTTTTACCCTGCTGGTCAGAATTCCGGATGCACAGAGATTTCCAGCCTATGTCCAAAACAGTGCTGTCTGAGGAAAGGGAGGG